TACAGTACTACAGTACTACAGTACTACAGTACTACAGTACTACTTACTACTTACTACTTACTACTTACTACTTACTACTACTACTACTACTACTACTACTACTACTACTACTACTACTACTACTTACTACTTACTACTTACTACTTACTACTTACTACTTACTACTTACTACTTACTACTTACTACTTACTACTTACTACTTCTACTACTACTACTACTACACTTACTACTACTACTACTACTACTACTACTAACTCCTTTTTACATTCTTGGGGCCATCCTGCTAAAGCTGGGCTCATTGGTCTTCGACTGGTGTGTGTGTGTGTGTCCACACCTGTGCCTAAGGTTTTGAGTCACCAAGGACGCTACTAGGGGCCCCTGGTTTCGCTACTACGGGCTCCTGGTATCGCTCTAGCATTCAGTTTTTCAGTGCGAAAAAAGAGGCAGGGGGATCAGGGACGTTTGGCTTGGCCTGATCCAACGAAGCTCCAGCCATTCGTCAGGATATTCCCGAGGGATGCCTTGGGAACGTACATGATTGAATTTTCAACTGTTGACAAGCTGTCTCATTCTGTGTTTTGCAGTAAGCGGCTAACGCGTTTTCCAAAAAACTTGTTCAACATCTACAAGTCCACCGACTCAGCCACCTTTCGGTTATTGCTTTTTTCCGTTCTGCCAAGTCAAGGGGGACTTCGTACTGATACTAGCTCTTGCGAGCAACAATCTAAGTGTGTTTTCGCCACAGGGTCCCACTGAGGGCTGTGGTGTGATCCCCGTCAAGGGGCGCCGCATGTGCACAGACCCAGATCCTGGGGGACCCACTCTGAATGATCCGTCTCTGCACTGGGACTTCGTTCTGCAACCCCCTTGATTGACCGCTTTGCACGATACCACTGATTCTTTGCCGCAGGGCTTACTGAGATCAACTCCAGTTTGGATTCTCACACATGTACATGCCACTTTCATTCGGCTAGGTAATCAAGGCAGGGCACATGGTTACACGTGCTTGTCATGCTCTTGAATGTTTGTCTCTTTCTGTTGCTTTTCGTTTCTTGAGGCCTTTCTTTTTTTAGGCTTCAGGTGCCTTTCAGACACGGGTTGCGCCGGCCCAAAACGGCTTTACTTGAATGCCAATGATGGCAATGCCTTCGGGCCACCCTAACCCACCCTCCCCCTACCTCCCTGCCCCTGGGCCTCCGTTGCTATCCCACCCGCTACTCGGGCAACAGAAGGAAATCGCACTCAACACACTTGTGTGTTGGTGCCTTTCCTTCTGTTTCTCCTATCCTATTGCTAGCTACCCGGGCGGTTTAAGACAAAAGTCCCGCTCGCGAACTACTTTCATTTAACTAAGTGGGCCTCGTAACTACACCTATCTTTCTTTCTTGCCCTCTTAGTCTGCTTTTGTTTTGTTTGCTCTGTCTGTCTTTCTAAGGCTTTTTAGGTGGCTAGTAATTTTCAGAAGCGCCAATACAAAGCTTTGCGTCATAAACGACGCTACTAGGGGCTTCTGGCCTCGCTACCAGGAGCCAGGACGGTACTACTAGGGGCCTCTGACCGTTCTACGGGGTGTAAGGACGCTACTAGGGGCTCCTGGCCACGCTACTAGTCTGCAAGCGGGGGACAGCGCGCCGAGTACGGCTTCGTGTGTGTGTGTGTCCACACCTGTGCCTAAGGTTTTGAGTCACCAAGGACGCTACTAGGGGCCCCTGGTTTCGCTACTAAGGGCTCCTGGCATCGCTACTAGCATGCAGTTTTTCAGCGCGAAAAAAGAGGCAGGGGGATCAGGGACGTTTGGCTTGGCCTGATCCAACGAAGCTCCAGCCATTCGTCAGGATATTCCCGAGGGACGCCTTGGGAACGTACCTGATTGAATTTTCAACTGTTGACAAGCTGTCTCATTCTGTGTTTTGCAGTAAGCGGCTAACGCGTTTTCCAAAAAACTTGTTCAACATCTACAAGTCCACCGACTCAGCCACCTTTCGGTTATTGCTTTTTTCCGTTCTGCCAAGTCAAGGGGGACTTCGTACTGATACTAGCTCTTGCGAGCAACAATCTATATAAGTGTTGTATATATATATATACTGTATATGTATAACGATGTCAAGGTTCTTTCAATTACTTCTGACCCGGGAAGATTCTGCGTTCTCCCAGCAACTCTGCGAAGTCTCCCCACCACTTTGCGTATCAAGCTGCTCCTCTGAAGGTAAAGTCTTCCTTCTCCCAGCTCGCTGCAGAGCATTCCTTGGCACCACGACAGCTCATCACGAATCAGTGCTTCGCCATATTCAAAACAAATCCATAATTCTGAAAGGTCATGCAGACTATCTGCATGTTGTATTCTTTGGAGGATGTTTCTCAACCAACAAGAGATTCGTGGATCCCAGGCGGTGAAACAGTACAACGGGCCCCAGCATTGGCAGCGACCAGCAGACCAGCTTCTGAAGACAGAAGCGTGAAAATGCTGCTAATGCGAGCCAGAGGAAAAAAAGAAAACGTTTACGTGCTTGGTTGACAGAGGACACCAAGAGAATGCTGCTTCTTGCGGAGTCCTTCGATGCTGAGGATGCTTTCCTCCAGTACTTCTAACTTCATACGATTCAAGCCGAGAGTCAAAGCGCAGGACTCTTTCTCCACACACTCATCATCACGTGGCGGGAGCCTTGGCAGCATGTTCTTTGAAACCACTCCGGTCCAGCAGCTCGGATAAAAGAAAGGTGCGCTGGGACCCGGCCTGTGCCTTGTTGGGTATGTTTATTCACTCAATGGGTGATATGCCGATATGATCCAATATGCCAACAACCAAACCGCGCTTTGAGGTGCCCTTCTGCAGCTGGTCCTTTTTTCGAACCCAGGGGCCAGGGCAGCCACCAAACGACTCACGCGGCCTCTCCCTCCTCACGGCCCGGTGGCTCCACGTCGCCGAAGATCAGTGACACCTGCAGCAGGAGGAACACCCCTCTCATCGCAGGCCTCAGCGTTCACTCAAACCCTCTCCGGACACCCGAGTCAGTCGGGAGACCGACGCGAGAGGCGCCCCTGAGGCCCTGCTTCCCCGTCACCACCCGCGTGACGTGACGCCGCGTCGGTCATGTCCGTCGACCACGCCTCGAGAAAGAGATGACATATGATATGATGGCTCCAGATAGTATCATGATATGATACTAGTATAGTATCTAGATAGTCATGATCATGTCATGATACTAGAGAAAGACATGATACTAGACATGATCTAGATGGCTCCAGCTTGAGGGAGCTCCGGAAATGTTCGCCTCTCTCCCAACGAGACGAAGTGCCCCGGGGCGACCTGGTCTGTGAGGGGGGCAGAGGTTCCGAACTCGAGTTGACGGGGCAGCCGTCACAGGGCGCCCCTGGACCCCAAAAAGCAGCTGACAGAGTTTCACGTGGTGTTTCACGTAGTGGTTCGGGTCTGGTCGTGTCCGGTCGTTTTTGGCAAGGCGCTTGTTGCCAGGTCTCGACAGAGAATTCATGAGGCGAAAATGGAGAAGGTTGGCTCAGCTGCAGGATGGTTTTAGGTTGAAGCTCTGACCTGCTGACCTGCCCTCTTGACCCGATGGCCCAGAAGGAAGAGCTTAGAAGGAAGATGCTGTTCCGCATGAGCTCTAAACCTGCCCTGACAAAGGTGATGGACGACGCTTGAGCCAAAAGCAGTGTATGGGGATGAAGAGGTGTATGTCAAAACTGAGACAAAGAGCCTGAATCTTTAGTGAGTCATGGACAGTCATGGTCAGCTGTTGCCCATCTGTCGCTGTCTAGCACCAACCCTCCAACAGTGCAAGTGCTCAACCTGGCCAAGAGGATATCATTGACCAGCAAGTTTTAGCGTACCACCTGCCAAACACGCTAGACACCAAAAAGTAGACCAAGAAGAAAGAAGACAAACCCCCAAATGATAGGATCTGAGCACACAAAATGCCAAAACATGTCACCTCAACTCCAGAATCCCCCAGACCCTGTCTGCAGCAGTTGGTTTGATCCGTTTTGGTACTCATCTACCTGAACTGCATGTATGCCTCGTTGATCAAAGAAGCGTTTTCGCCAAGGGCCCAGTCTCCGACACTCCGAGGGCTCTGCTCCTTCGCCAAGCCCACTGCGGCTGTATGCGCCTGATTTCTGACAAGGCCCGTCATCATGCAATCCCAATGGGGTGATTTATTAATCAAGAGTCTACAATCCCATCACAGCGGTCCTTTATGACCAGTACCAACAGGTTTGCCCACAAGGAATAGGAGTGAACAAGATCTTCGTACCGTTGCTGCGTAGTTCGTACTCGTGGAATCTCTTCTTGGGCGATTGCTGATGCTTTGTGCAAAGTGAGGACGTCCAGTCAAGCATATGGGGGTGGCAGGATAAATGGAAGCTCCTGGGAGTCTTTTCGTCGACGACTGTCTACAAACATATTCCGGTTCCGCATCTTCCGTATTCCCAGACTCTTTGATACTCTTTGAATGTCTAGAGCCTCATTATCACATGAATACAGAACTACAAACCACAGACTTGTGAAAACATTTGAGTTGGAAATCCGTTATATTGAAAAAGAACTGGGCTTCTTGGATGTCACTGACCCGCTATGCTTCCAGCAGGAAGATCAAAACGGTGGCCAGGGAGCCAAGCTAAGGTTCTGCCAATCTGAGAAGCATTTACCCATCATCAAGACAAAGTACCATGTAAAAGCCGTGGCGTCTAAACGCAGCCGCAGGGTTGTGTAACAGCAGTTGCGATTTGTAACAACTGCCTATAGTGCCACAATTGTGCTTTGCGTAGAGGCTGTGTTGTGTCGCTGGTTGCGCGATTCAAGTCTGGTTCTGGGTCGCAAGAACAACCGCTCACACCAGCTTGCTCGTCGAAAACGATGCCCGAAATCCGAATCAAGCAGGGAATCAAGCATAACTGAGCCCGAAATCCAAATCAAGCCTAGGGAATCAAGCATATCTGTGCCTGAAATCCGAATCA